TGATAGCATCTAGGCAAAGCGAGAGGATTACAAAAATAGATTTTACACTCAACTAATCTTATGCTATCAACTTCTGGATGGATTCTGAAAAAACCATATGCCCTAACAGGGATTCAACGGGAGGTGAGTTTCAAAATGCTCTAATTAATACGGACGATTTATAAACGAATAAACATAACTAAATGTTGTAAAACATGAGGAGAACTTCTTTTAAAAACTGGCAATTTTGGGCCCCACTTGTTGTATAAACCACTCACATATGTCGTGTAAAATACGATTTCTCATAAATTCACAACATTCACACTTCATCACTGAATTTAAGGATTGGGAAAGTCATTTATTCACTGATATATTCGATCACGATTACTTCTGACAGTAGTGGTTTTAGAGGATGTGACTCAATTCGATATACTTATTGATTTCTAAATAATCTATAAACTGGGAATTTCGGTACATTTATAACAATTTCCTTCCTGACATTTTACCCCGATTTCGTAACAATATTAATCTGCAATTATATTGGCTTTGTAATTCTAAATCACCATGTAACGGAATTTTCCCTTATTGTGTCACTTGAATACTTATACCGTAACCCATTCTTTATTGGGAAATTCCATTTTCGTGGGAAGCATTCATTTTTCTGGTTTTTAGACACTTGGAATGTTTCTATACAACAACATATGATTAACGTTGAATGCTTGTTCTGTAGTTTTTCAAATTTGTTTGATATCCGGGTAACCATATAGAAAAATAAAATTATGCAAACTGGTGACATCACCCAATTCATCCAATGAGATTATTTTTCTGGATTAATTTCCGGGTAACACAAAATTTACAAAATTTTTTCTCTGATTTCACATCGCGCTTAATTCTGAGTCATTTCCCAATTAGGAATTGGATTATAAAGAAGAAAAATTTTTACAACAATTTTCTTCTTCTTTTTCATTTCTTCTTCTTTCTTCTTTTATCATCTATTTATCTACTTTCATATTTTCTTCACTGATCATCTGCATTCACTACCACCCAAAACAGGAAAGATGATAAGTTTAAAGACGATAGTGTCACGTCAAGTCAAGTTGACATGTGTTACCAATTCCATAGCGAAAAGATTCTTGTCAGCTTCTCCAAAATTGACACAATTGCACTATGCTGGTGCTGATTTATTAAAGAACTTTAAAGATGAAAATGCACATAAATTAGTCGATGTCAATAAAGTCCTTGTGATTGGTTCAGGTGGTTTATCCATTGGTCAAGCTGGTGAATTTGATTATTCTGGTTCCCAGGCTATCAAAGCTCTTAAAGAAGCAAATAAACAATCGATTTTAATTAATCCAAATATTGCAACCAATCAAACTTCACATGCATTAGCAGATGAAATCTATTATTTGCCAGTCACTGCAGAATATATAACCTATATTATCGAAAGAGAAAGGCCTGATGGTATATTGTTAACTTTTGGTGGTCAAACAGGGTTAAATGTTGGGGTTCAATTAGATAAAATGGGAGTTTTTGATAGATATGGAGTTAAAGTGTTGGGTACACCAATCAAAACTCTTGAAACTTCGGAAGATCGTGATCTCTTTGCTCAAGCATTAAAGCAAATTGATATTCCAATCGCGGAGTCTGTTGCTGTAGAAACTGTCGACGATGCCTTAGCTGCTGCTGAAAATGTGGGATATCCTATTATTGTCAGATCAGCCTATTCTCTTGGTGGTTTAGGATCTGGATTTGCTGCCAATGAAGATGAATTAAGAAATTTAGCTTCCCAATCTTTATCATTGGCCCCACAAATTCTTGTTGAAAAATCATTGAAAGGTTGGAAAGAAGTTGAATATGAAGTTGTCCGTGATCGTGTTGGTAACTGTATCACTGTTTGTAATATGGAAAACTTTGATCCATTGGGTATCCATACTGGTGATTCGATTGTTGTTGCTCCTTCTCAAACTTTATCCGATGAAGAATACCACATGTTAAGATCAGCTGCCATTAAGATTATCAGACATTTAGGTGTTGTTGGTGAATGTAATGTTCAATACGCTTTACAACCAGATGGATTAGATTATAGAGTTATCGAAGTTAACGCCCGTTTATCTCGTTCTTCGGCTTTAGCTTCCAAAGCAACTGGTTATCCATTAGCTTACACTGCTGCCAAGATTGCCTTGGGTCACACTTTACCTGAATTACCAAACCCTGTTACTAAGACTACTTCTGCCAATTTCGAGCCATCATTAGATTATATGGTCACCAAGATTCCTCGTTGGGATTTATCAAAATTCCAACATGTGAAACGTGATATTGGATCAGCCATGAAGTCCGTTGGAGAAGTTATGGCCATTGGTAGAAACTTTGAAGAATCATTCCAAAAGGCTATTAGACAAATTGATCCTTCCTATGTAGGCTTCCAAGGTGATAAATTTGAAAATTTAGATGAAGTATTAGCAAATCCAACTGATAGAAGATGGTTAGCTGTCGGGCAAGCCTTATTACATGAAAACTACACAGTCGACCAAGTACATGACTTAACTAAGATTGACAAGTGGTTTTTACATAAATTGATGAACATTGTTAACATGTACCGTGAATTAGAAAGTGCTGGCAAATTATCCAATATTAACCATGATTTGATGAGTAGAGCTAAGAAATTAGGATTCTCAGATAAACAAATTGGTCTTTCTGTTGGAGCTCAAGAATTAGAAGTTAGAAAAGTTAGAAAAGAATTTGGTATTATTCCATTCGTTAAGAAGATTGATACTTTGGCTGCTGAGTTCCCAGCAAATACAAACTATTTGTATACTACTTATAATGCCACGTCTTCTGATATTGACTTTAACGATAAAGGTACTATGGTCCTTGGTTCCGGTGTTTATAGAATTGGTTCCTCTGTTGAATTTGATTGGTGTGCTGTTTCTACTGCCAGAGCATTAAGAGAAAGTGGCCATAAGACTATCATGATTAACTACAATCCAGAAACTGTTTCCACCGATTTTGATGAAGTTGATAGATTATATTTCGAAGAACTTTCTTTGGAAAGAGTATTGGATATTTATGAATTAGAGAATTCTTCAGGCGTTGTCGTTTCTGTTGGTGGTCAACTTCCACAAAACATTGCTCTTTCTTTACAAAATGAAGGTTGTAAGGTATTAGGTACAAATCCAGAAGATATTGACAAGGCTGAAGATCGTCACAAATTCTCTCAAATCTTAGACTCTATCGGAGTTGATCAACCTAAATGGAAAGAATTAACTTCTATTGAAGAAGCTGAAGTTTTCGCTAATGATGTTGGTTATCCAGTATTGGTCCGTCCGTCTTATGTTCTTTCTGGTGCTGCTATGTCCGTCATTAACTCCAAAGATGAATTAGATGCCAAATTATCTAATGCTTCCAAGGTTTCCAGAGATTATCCAGTTGTTATTTCCAAGTTTATTCAAGGTGCACAAGAAATTGATGTTGATGCTGTTGCCAGTGAAGGTGAAGTCTTAGTTCATGCCGTTTCCGAACATGTCGAAAATGCAGGTGTCCACTCCGGTGATGCTACTTTAGTCTTGCCTCCACAAAACCAATCTCCTGTTATCATGGCCAGGTTGAAAGAAATTGCCGACAAGGTTGCCTCTGCTTGGAACATTACTGGTCCTTTCAATATGCAAATTATTAAGAATGATCAAAATGGTACTTTATCTGACGAAGATTGTGAATTGAAGGTTATTGAATGTAATATCCGTGCTTCCCGTTCCTTCCCATTTGTTTCTAAGGTTCTCGGTGTCAACTTTATTGATGTCGCAGTTAAGGCTCTAATCAAAGAAAATATTCCTGAACCAGTTAATCTTATGGATAATAAATATAACCATGTTGCTGTTAAAGTGCCACAATTCTCATTTACCAGATTAGCTGGTGCTGATCCATTCTTGGGTGTTGAAATGGCATCAACAGGTGAAGTTGCTTGTTTTGGTAAGGATGTTATTGAAGCATACTGGACCTCTATTCAATCTACTATGAACTTCCACGTTCCTCAACCTGGTCAAGGTATCTTATTCGGTGGTGATTTAACCAATAGTAAATTAGGTAATGTTGCTGGAAACTTATCTGGATTAGGTTATAAATTCTATGCTGCTTCTGAAGGTGTTGCTGAGTACTTATCCAAGTATATTGAAGAAGAAGTTGAAATTATAGAATTTCCAAAGACTGATAAAAGAGCCCTTCGTGAAATCTTTGAAGATATGAAAGTCGGAGCAGTTTTCAATTTGGCCAAAGCTAGAGCTGAAGATTTGTTAGATGAAGATTATGTTATGAGACGTAATGCTATTGATTTTGCCATTCCATTATTTAATGAACCTAACACGGCATTGTTATTCTCACAATGTTTGAAGAGAAATATTCAACATAAGTTGCCATTCAATGAAATTCCTCATCATGTTGAAGTACCAGCTGAAGTCAAGAGATGGAGTGAATTTCTTGGAGGTAAGCCAGTTTAAGAAAGGAAGGTTTGTACGTTTTTAGATATTTTTGTATATTGGATTTTTGTATATTTGTAAATGCATAATAATATAAAGTTAATCCCTCAAGGAATTTGTTTTGTCCATCTAAAAACATAATATTTACATTTATTGTTTTGGAAATAAATATTTCAACTTATGACATTTTGAAGAACATCTAGTGACTTTTTGATCCTTGTGTTACATAATTTTGTACTGTATATCAAGGTTTGATCTAAAATCGTTCGTGAGGAAATAAATCATACTAATTAATTAAATATAAAATATTAAACTGAATTACTTAAAGAAATACATCATACTAAATATAATATTAAATTGAATTAATTAAACAATACTTACATTCTAGAGTACACTAAAGAGAAATCCTTATAATGCTCACTTTTTAAAGACTTTCTTAAATTTTTCAAGAATGACATCATCATCATACTTATTGACAGTGACCATTCCAGTTTTACTGTCCTCGTCTCCCTCTTCAGCCTCTAAACTTTGAACAGAATCTAATCTATGATCTCTCAAGAAGAAAGCAAAGATTAACAAAGGAAAGCAAAGTGCCAAACCAACTATACAGAGATATTTTTGGACCTCGGCGTATGCTAATACTAGAGCCATTCTTTCGGTTGTACCCCATGCATACGTTACTATAAATGAAAATGGTGAACCATAAGCCAATTGCGCCATAGCAGGGGCATCTTCAACTCCTAAAAGCTCCATCTTTTCCAAAATAGTAGGATACATTTTGTTAGTCCATAATGCACCACTGACTGAACTACCAATAGATGAACCGACAACATAATTGGTATAGTAAAGGGAAAGGATGACACTCATGTATTCATGGTTGGTCACACTTGCCATACTAACTTGAAGAGAGTTTGTGTAGAATCCTGCACCAAAACCCATAAGACAAAGCCCTCCAATGACACCATTCAAATAGAATTCACTTTCAATTCCGTTATTATCACCTCTAAAACGAAGTAAAATACCCAAAGCAGCACACCAACATGCACATCCGAAGATGATAAATGCTTTTAATCTTCTTACTCTTGAAACCAAAAGACCTAATATGAAACCAGTAATAACGGAAACAAACGTGAACAAATTGGCAATACGGGTTCCGGCTTTAACACTGGCATTCATACCCACCACCACGACTGTATACATATAACTGTTTGGTAAGTAATAGATCCAGTTAATAAGTATAGCAATACATAATGCAGACCAAATACCACGATCCTTCATCAAAGCAAGAGGCATAAGTGGAAATTTGGCGAATCTTGCTTCCCAAACCACAAATACAGGAATACATAAGATACCAATTACCAAAGGAGCAATGATATGTCCTTGTGCCCATTTAGAACTTACTCCACCAGCAAGAGTCAAAGGAACTAAGACACAACCAAGAACGACAACAAGAAGAAGCATACCCATAAGATCTAAATCCCAAAACAATTCAACTGATAATTTTCTCCAATATTTAGTGGATAATTTAGAATATTTGGCCAAACTTCTACTTTCTTCATTAAGTTCTTTCCATGCTGGTGTTTTCATTGTCTTGATAAGCATAATAGTGTAGCAAACAGCGAGTGGAATACAAGAACATGGAAGAATGAAGGCCCACATTCCAATACCCCATTGCCAACTATATTTCGTAAGGACTTGTTCCATAATATCACCGCTGACCCATGTATTAATAATATGTGGTAATGAAGGAATAAAAGAAGCAGCCAAACGCCAGTTCAATGTTGAGAAGTCAGCAAGAATAATCTGAAGCATAAAAAGGATTCCTCTGACACCCAACAGGTACAAAACAGTACCACCTGCATATCTGTGGATAGTATAAGCCTGAGATTGGACGACAGTTCCAATTGTATAAAACATAACGGCAACCAAAGCTAATTCAAAACGACCATATCTGTCCGAAATTCTGGCATAAGCGGGTTGAGAAGCACCGACGACAACAGATCTAATAACAGTAATAGTTGTAAGCAAGGAATGCTGGGCATAGGATGAAGTTGCATATGCTTGCAAGTTACGTCTAAGAATGCCATCAAGAACGTAACAATAAGAAACCAAGAAGACACTAAAGAAGAAGCAAATCTTCCAAAATAATGAATCTAATTGAAGATTGATCAACTCGGCTCTTCTAATACCAATAGATTTTGTTGTAGTTTTCGTGTTGTGACCGGATTGGGGTTCTTCTTCCAATTCTGATTGACTAGATGGGGACCCACCCTTGCTTAAAGTTTCCGTTTTAGAACTCATTTTGTGGTTGTTATTGAAATCTAAAATTATTTGGGGTTTTGGATTAGATTCTGCCGCTTATTTATAATGTTCCAGGCATGATTTAGTTCTCTAATGAACTTTTTACAACTGCGGCTAACTGCAACCACAACGATGTAAGTGGAACCACCCGCGTCAAGATCGGTATTTGCTTTCATTGGATGGTCCAAGAATTTGAGCACTGTTTCTTCGCCAAGAAAAAGCTTAAAGAGAAGTGAAAAAAGTGAAAATTTTTATCAGTTTGATCAAGGATAGACCCCCTACGTTACTACCGCAGGCGCGTTACCAGGACATCTTGAAATTTGATCTAAGGGCAATTTCTATAAGAACATCTCAGGCGTTCCAGCATGCAAAAGTCATGCAACCAATAATAATTAGTCGCGAACACTTATAAAAATAAAACCCTGGTTTATGTATTCTTCCAATATTTTTTAGTCGAGAGTAAAAAAAATCAATTTATAAATAACAATATTTTCTAAGGGGTCAACTGATCGGATCAGATTAAATGGTTTTGTAGTTGGCTGATTTTGTTGTCCAGGTTTCAACCGTATTGATTGGACAATTGTAATTAAACTTGGTTCATAAAATTCTTGTGCTCTCTAGGAGACTGGACTTCGAAATATTCTTTGTGTCTTATGTTGCAAAATCTCCTACTAAAAATTATTTGCTCAGAATTAGGTTTGGGGAAATATATTTTTCCGTAAAACTGGATCAATCATTTTATCTCACTAACATCCCTTCGTTATATACCTAATAGAATTGCTGCTTATAAGAGGTTTTTTGCATCATATGTTGATCAATCTTTTTTGTTCCTCTAATTGTGTATTTGTTTATTATATTTCTGTATTGTAAGAACTAGAATAAATGGTTGCATCAGAAATCATTGCGCTTACCGGACACTTTGGAATGCACGGCTAAAACTTGCATTGAAAAATATTCTGTAAAACTGCAGGAGGATCGGATTTAACGAGATGTTATCTGATGGGATCACTAAAAAATAAGGTTTACAGCCGAAAAGTTAAAAAGTATCAAGGTTTTATGACTTAATTCCGATGATCCTGCACAATGTACTTTCTTTTAATTCATTCATTAAATACATTGAATATTATCGATAACCTTATTTCTATGTTTACTCAATGAATCGACAAGACTGACGACGGCCCCTCGAGTGCAGAACAAGAATCCTTGATTACCTTATTATTAAACAAGGTAAAAATATTCAAACTAATTAATTAACAACACTAACAAAACTCATTATTTCCAGAATGCCATCAAAGAATCAACTGATTAATATGACCATTTGTTAAATGTAAGTGTTTATAGCTTTCAGATAGTAATCATACTATCTGACATTTCAAATTATCTAAGAGATAGACTAAGAAATTAACACTCAGTTGTCAATATAAGAAAATCAAAAAAAAAAATATCGAAAAGCTGGCCAATCGAACTCGGTTTATTCAAGCGCAGCAACAGATTTTTCACAAAACAATCGACTACACAACCATTTTGCTTTAATAAAAAATACTTTCTTCTAAAGATTTTTACAACAATTTTTTCGCAGCCATGCAACAACAAACACAAAAACTGTAATGTGATTTGCAATTGTTATTAATAAATGGGTTTAAATATTCTTGGTTAGTTTAAGGATAGAAAAAATTGTGTTTTATTCTGTCATCTAGCTGGGTCTTATCCATTCGCAGCATAATTAAATGATTTCAAGAGGGGCATTAACTAATTTGAATCAATTATTAAAAATCTTTAGAATGATTCATAAAGAAAAGATCCAATAATTATATAAACATATAAAGTAGCTTTTAAAATAATTTTGTATCTTCTAATTCTCCAAGAAAATTGTACACTTGACTTTACTTGAATTCCACTTGACTTCTCAATTATTTCTCAAACAATAGTCCAACGTCGTTCATTGGTTTCATTTAGGATGCAAATTCTCTTACAAAGAGTAACATTCATACTAAGTTGAATTAGTTAATTATTAAAATTATTTATTATTTATCTACACTACAATTATTGGAAGAAATTCCCTAGTTTCTAGGAATCTTAAACATGTTCTTTAATTTGGTGAGGATAATATCATCATCGTAGTTGTTGACGACAACTTCATCTTCCTTACCCTTTTCTTCGTCAGCAGTTTGCATACCCAATGATTGGACAGAATCTAATCTGTGATCTCTTAAGAAGAATGTAAATGTTAACAATGGAAAACAAAGTACTAACCCAGCAATACAGAGGTATCTTTGAACTTCGGCGTAAGATAATACAACTGCCATACGAGGAGTAGATCCCCAGACATTGTCAATAATGAATCCAAATGGGTCACCGTAGGCTTCAGTTGCCAATGCGGTAGCATTGCTAACACCCATTTGTTCCATTTTACCTAAAATGACAGATGGCATCTTATTAGTCCAAATGGCACCACTAACTGATGCACCAATAGCAGCACCAACATTGTAACTAGCCAAATAAAGAGAGATGATGACAGACATGTATTCATGGTTAGTGACAGTAGAAATACTGACTTGGGTAGAATAAGTAAAAAAACCAGCACCGAAACCCATGAGACATAAACCACCAATAACACCATTCAAGTACTTCTGGGATTCAACACCGTTGTTGTCACCTCTAAAGTGTAATAAAATACCCAAGGAAATACTCCAACAGGCACACCCGAAGATAATGAACCCTTTCAATCTTCTCACTCTGGTAACGAGAAGACCCAATAACGGACCAACGATAACGGACACAAATGAATATAAGTAGGTGATACGAGTAGCAGCTTTAACACTAGCATTCATCCCTACGATTAAGACAGTATACATGAAATCATTTGGCATATACCAGATCCAATCGATTAAGATGGCAATGAACATTGCTGACCAAACACCACGATCCTTCATTAATGCAAGTGGCATAACTGGGAAACGAGAGAATTTGGCTTCCCAAACGATGAAAGCTGGAATAAGTACAAAACCGATAACTAATGGAGCAATGGTCGAACCCTTTGCCCAAGTGGACTTGATTCCGCCAGCAATCGTGAATGGAACCAAAATGAAACCAAGAATAACTATAATAAATAATATACCAGCAATGTCCAATTCCCAGAATAATTCAACACTTAACTTTGTCCAGTACTTGATGGATAATTTGGAGTGACCTGCATTAGCTTTAGCTTCTTCATTCAAGTCTTTCCATTCTGGGGTTTTTCTGGCCTTGACAATCATATGAACTAAACATATGAGTAAAGGAACACAAGAAAGTGGGAAAATGAATGCCCACATACCAATTCCCCATTGCCATGAATGATGAGCGAGGAATTGTTCCATCATATTACCACCAGCCCAAGCATTAATAATGAATGGTAATGCTGGAACAAAAGAAGCAGCCAAACGCCAGTTTAAATCTGAAAAATCAGCTAAGACAATTTGAAGCATGATAATGATACCACTGTAACCGGCTTGATATAAGACAGCACCACCAGCAAATCTGTTAATATCGTATGCTTGCGATTCAATAACAGTACCGACAGCATAGAATACAATAGATACGACAGTTAATTCTAAACGACCGAACCTATCTGATAACCTAGCATATGTTGGTTGAGCAGCAGCAGAAATGACCGATTGGATGACTTTAACAGTTGTAAATAAGGAATGTTGAGAATAGGAGGAGGTAGCATAATATTGTAAATTACCACGGATAGTACCATCAATTGAATAAGTATAAGCAACAAAAAAGATGCTGATAAAGAAACATACTTTCAGGAAGATACAACTGTATTGCAGGTTCAATAATTCTGCTCTTCTAATACCAATGGATTTGGTAGTTGTGTGGACAACTTCTTGAGGAGGTTGCTGAAAGCTTTGATCGTGATCAGAAACTGATTCTTCTTTGGAATTTGCTTCAGAATTAGAATTCATTGTTAGGGTGTTTCTTGTTACAAGGCGAGAAAAGAAGAAAGAAAAGTTGCAAATTTAAGTTTTTGAAGCAAATCGTATTTCTATTTATATTGGGCGAAAACTTATTTTCGATCAGATAAAAATCTTCAAATAATATTTTTTGAGGCGTAAACAATACCTTTCTCGGATTAGTAATTCTTATGTCAACGAACAGCAAATTATATTGCTCACACGGCTTCCATAACAGTACTGAAGTTTTGCCAAACAAATCTTACAATGCAGATGAGATGATAAACTAAATATTTGGCAATGTTTATTCTCCTTAGTGGGCTCCACTAAGTAAATTTTGTAGCTGCCCTAGGTTCCGAAGAATGGGCAGTTTGGTTTGGCTAATATTAATTAATCTATATCCTTGCTTAATACCTTAGATGGGACAAGCACTTCTCTATACGTATTTTAGATGCTTTAGATTATCAATTCTACTGAAAAGAAAATTTCTTCCAAGAATATTTTTTATGCACGGCATCGAATTATTGAAATTTGCAGTAATTAATTGTTCCCTTCCCTTTGTGTTATTTTTTAAGGCTGATTGATCCAATCAGATAAAAATTTCAATCTGAGAATAATGAGCGATTTTATTTAAGAGTTACTTTGTGTACGTTTGTTTGACAATGGCCATATTGTTTGTTGCAATGCACAGCGGCTTTATATTCCCTATAAATGGCCTAAACAATTGACTTGATGAATCTGATTACCTGAAATTTTTGCACTGCTCATTCTTGAGATTCGTATGAGATCTTGTTTTCGGAACATTCGCGAAATTGCTAGGTGTAGATTAGACATGCGTAAGGCAGGATGCCATTGAATATGAACAATTCGAAGTCATCGCTAACCCAAAGACTAATTAATTAAACTTAGGTCTTTTGTGTCAATATGCAAGATGTGTTTTTTTTAAGCCGACTGATTGATTTGATAAATAGGAAAATATCCTGAGAATGTCAAGACGGATATTCGAAGGGATGATTGAAGGGATAATTGATGGAACGGACAAAGCCGTGACAGGGATTGGTTTACCAGTATGGATTCAATAGGTAGGGAAGTAATGAATAAAATGCTAATGTGACATTAATTGGCTTAGGCATCATTGTCAAATCGTAATTCTACAAAGGCTGCTTTCCTTTTCCTTTTGTTTCACAAAAACCAAGAAAATTTTAAATATAACAATTTAGGATTAATTTGATTGTCTCAGGTTCCTATAGCTCCGGATTCCGGTTATCCCACTGTGAACAAAACAAACCCGCTTATTGGCTACTTGGCCAATTGGATTCTTTTCAACTAAATAGGCGGAAGGATGTGTGATTACTGTATGTTGGGGCTCCCAAATTTAGAGCAAGGTGTCAAGTAGGACCGCTGGGGTAGACTTTCCATAAAACCGTATTGGACATAGATATAGTTCTTTAAAGCGGCTACATCATTCTTAATTTCGTTGGTGCTTGGCAACTACTGCATGTCATAACATTCGTTGGGTTGCTTCGTTAGTCAGACAACTCTGATAGGTTCCCAACTTATCACCGAATGAATCCCTTTTGTATTCCAATCCAAAGGCTATCATTGGTTTTCCCCACACTTGGAAAGGGCGTCTGCTCAATAGAATAGGCGTTGATGCATACAAATGGTCGTTGGTCCGTATTGTACAACAAAGAACACTTCAAAGTCAAACAACTACATATACATGCTACATTCAGGAAGAAAATTGTTCCTGTTGCAATCAGACCTTCACCCTGACTGTCTGAAAACTTTATCAAATTATGCCCCACAAATTACAGTTTGTTCCAATTTGTAATCCAACCCCCGATTATTCTAAAATTAAACTTTTCCAGAATTATTTAATTTGTTCTCCATACTACTCCACGAAGCCAATCTCCTGGGTACCTATGTCCACTCAGGGCTGATCATAAGTAGCAAACCACGTCTGATCATAAACAACAAATGGTCCGTAGTCAAGAAAACATCCAAACGTACATAGATAGTGTCCCCCAAAATGATATAAACACACATTCTGTAACTATGTGGAGGGTTTATAATGAGACTTCCTCTCGGGATCTTTCCGAAGACACCAAGATGAAGCATTACGTTGCAGAAGTTTTCTATCGCCGAGGCGTTATCTCTTGTACAAGATTGTAGTATACAGTACCTCTCCTCTCGGAAACGATTTCCTAATTGGTTATAAAGATTTTGTCTTCCAAGTATCAATTTACTGAATGCTACTATTTCCGGGACCCCAACCCCGAAGAAATACTGTTATCTGTTAACCAAGATGGTTGCTTGTTTCTTGGCTATCTGTAGGTGAAGATGTCAAAAAAGAAAGCTCCCTTGTTCTCTAGCCGAGTTTTATCCATAAAAAATATCCATTGTTTACGCTGAATCTTAGTTCTCTTGCCGTTTTAGGCGGTTTTATGCGCTTCGTCGCAGAACGGAGATTGGCACTTCAATGCAAAAATCTTGTTATAAGCACATTGTCACCTTGTTGATACAATATACGTATTGCCTATTGGTAAGAGATACTTATTCCATTTAAAGGGGAACTCTAATTACATTTTCGACAAGAAAGACACTCGGAAACAGTGTCTAAAGTAGATTCCAGACCTTGATCAAACTTGGTATCGAGGATAAGCACATAATCGCTGTTTCTTTAGCGGCGAGTCATTTAGGTGACGCCCTTTTGTGGATATAACTTGATAAACCTTGTAAATACAGTATACATATTAGTTTTCTTTCACTAATGTCAATTCGCATTTACATGCATGTACATATACTTTCATAAGAAAAAAGTAAGAATGTTCGGTGGGGGGGGTTATGTAACAAGAAAACGACTCCCCACTTTCCCATCGTCTAAAAACATGATTTCGATGCATTGGCTGCAAAACCGGTATTTCCAGATTTGGAAGTTAGTAGCAGATATGATATGCTTATCATTTACACTCATTGTTAATGGGCTAGCCTGGAGAAGAATGGTAAGAAGAGCGATTCTATCAATCCTTATCTGTTGCGGAAGTCCACTTATCCGGTATCTACAACACCAGCCGCGTCGTCCAGTAGATACGCCCGGGATTGAGAAGGAAAGCATAATCAAAAAGATTGGCAATAATCTAAATTTAAGTTTGAGTAAACGAGGGGGATGAACTCTTGGACAGAGCAATCCCCCCCCTGTCCCCACAAACCAGGATCCCATCAATATAAAAGAAGATGTACATCCAGGACTTTATCTCCCATTCCATTTGAATTCAAAACAGCAAACAACACATAAATTACAGCATGTCATCAGGTGAAAGTAAAATCGACGCTGAGAAACAAGCAGGAAATGTTGCAGATATTGAGATTATTCCAGGCACTGTCCAATTAGTTGATGTCACAGGTGGATTACATGTTATGAAAAATGACTCAGGCGATAATGTCATTTTAATCCCCCAACCAACTAAAAACATCAATGATCCATTACGTTGGACAAGAAACAAGAAACATTTTCAATTTTTTTTGGTTTGGTTTTGGTGTTTTATACTTGCAGCCACTTCAAATTTCTATGGTCCATTATGGGGGGTTTGGATGGATGAATTAGGGTTCACCTTAAACGAATTAACCATTAGTAAGGCTATTATCTTTTTATTTCTTGGTACTGGGATTTTAGTTGTTCAACCTACGGCTTTAAAATTGGGGAAAAGATTCACATATTTGACATGTACCGTTGTTGGTATTATTGGATTAGCAATTGGATCACAAGCAACTTCAATTGGGTCAATTTATTTATTTCAAGTATTTGCTGGTGTCTCTGCTGCTCCTGTCGATACATTGGCTGAAATCACGGCTACTGATATTTATTTCCAACATGAAAGATCTACTGCTTTTGCTTTGGTGATTCTTGCCCTTTATGCCGGTTGTTATTTGGGTCCAGTTGCTGCTGGATTTATTGTTGATGGATTGGATTGGAGATGGTGTTACTATGTTCAAATTATTATCTACGTTATCATGTTTTTCTTTTTATTATTCACAATGGAAAACACTTCATTTAGACGTGACAATCTTAAAGAAGAGGAATTTGAAGAAGAAGTCATCAAAGCTGTAAAATCGAAGGAATTAAATATTACCACCCTGATTGCCGAAGTCACTGAAGCATTTGGTGACGACAGTGATACAAATTCAATTGATGAATCAATCCCTATGAACACTTATAAACAACGTATGAAATTCATTGATACTGATACTAATGATGAAAGGTCTTGGTTCTTGATCTTCTATAGACCATTCTTGTTATTTTCTTATCCTGCGGTAGTTTGGGGTGGGGTCGTCTATGGAGCCCAAATGATGTGGTTATCATTAATTGGTGCCACCCAGGCTATAATCTATGGTGCAGAACCTTATAATTTCTCAGCAAATGGAGTCGGTTTAACTACCTTGGGAGCATTTGGTGGAAGTGTCATTGGAATGGTTGTTGGAGGTTATGCTGTCGATTATACTTCAATTTGGTTGGCAAGAAGGAACCATGGTGTTATGGAACCTGAATTCAGATTATATGCAATGGTAATCGCCACAGTTACCAATGCCGGTGGATTGTTGGCATATGGATTAGGTTCAGATGAGAAAGCTCATTGGTGGATTTCTGTTGTTCTTGGACAAGGACTTTTGGGTGTTGCCATGGGCGCTTCTGGTGCTATTTGTTTAACTTATGCCGTTGATTGTTATCATAATCTTGCTAGTGAATGTATTGTTTTTATTCTTTTTGTCAGAAATATGATTGGTATGATTTTCTGTTTTGTATTTGAATCTTGGTTAAACGGTTCTGGTCTTAAAATTACCACTTGGACTATGTTTGTATTATCAATTGTCATTAATGGCAGTTTCATTATTTTCATCAAATGGGGTAAGACCTTCCGTAAGATGACTATGGCATCGTATCATAAGTATTCTGATCCAACATATGGTGAAGTATTTAAGAAGAAGCCTTAAAGTTGTTAGGAGTTTATATTTTAGTTTATTTATTAATTAACTGGTTTAATTTAGTGAGAAGAATGAAAAGTTACTTAAAACCTAAAACATGAAAATCAATCTATAAATTACTGTAGGAAACTTAAGGGTGTGGTATCTCTACAATAAATCATCTTCATCTTTATCAACTACGGAATTCTTAATGGTTAATAATAACAGTGTCTTTAATTTGTCAATCTTACTAAATTGATCATATTCAAATACAGTATCAGTGAAAGCTTCTAAATCCCCATCATTAATAGCTTTAAGAATTCCTTCAAGTAATTTATATTCTCTTGATTGACCCCAATTTGGATCTTCAGCAAGATAATTTTCATTTCTCTTTTGAGCTTCAATAATATCATCAGTACATAAAACACATAATATTACTTTTAAGAAATAATCTTTTAAACTCCATCTTGTTAAAGAATTATTAATCAGTTGTTTAATAATAGTATCATATAATTCAATTGCTTTTTTATATTGGTTATTTCCAGCTGCTAAATCAGCACATTTTAAAAATGATTTATTAGCCAATGCTTCAGCATGATCAGTTGTAAAATAATCACCAGCTTGTTCATAACTTTTAATTGCATTTTCAACATCATTTACAGTTTCATAAAGTTCAGTTAAATCCATTGTAAAGTTAGCTGCTCTTCTAAATTGACCATTTTGAGTTAAAAATATATGAATTGCTTTAGATAATGAGGTAATTGCATCGGTTGGAGAAGTTCCTTTAAAACATTTATAAGCTTCAACTAAATGATTAGCAGAATCATTAAAATTACCTAATTCATCTTGAATTTCAGAAGCTTTAACAAATTGAGTACCAGCTTGATTAAAATCCTTTTGTAATCTGTATTGATTAGCAGCTTGTATATAAAGATCAGTTGCTTCTTCTTTCCTCATTGATGCTGAAGATCCTGATAAAAACAGAAAGAATCCCAGTTGAGGTTTAAGAAGTTTTTCTGCTTCTGCTATTAATGAACGTGGATCTGACATCTGTCTGTTTGTTACTCAACTTGTACTATATATTCTGTATTAAAAAGGGTCTGACGCTTTCTAATTAATCGTTAAAGAAAGATGGCAAAATCTAACGGAGGAAATCTTCAAAAGAAAAATTAGAAAGGAGGTTTGGTGGGTTTGCCATTTTGGCTTAATCGCTCACTGACTTAAATGTTAAATCTTTTTTCCAGTCTCTCTCTAATGAGGATTTACTCAGCGCGTAATTCAATTAATTAATCAAAACAAACTCTCATATGGATAATTTGGTAAAAAGAATCTATGGAAGGGACAGGGTTAATACACTACCAGGATGGATAACAACAATAAAGATAATGAATTCACCAAGGGAGTACGATTTAATACTTTAAAACAAGTAGGTAAAAAAGCATTAGAAAAACTGATTAAAAATGCCTTGAATATTGATAAAGTTATACAATGTTATCCAAAGATTGCCAGTACACAACAAGGAGTATATCATTTAAAGGGTGCAAGTGCTCAAATTATCGATTATTGGTATTCAAGTACTTTATCTGAATTAGATTTAATTTATGGAGAAAAAGAAGTAGAGCAAAGATTAGATGAACTAGATGAGATTATTCAAATTGCTAAACAAAGAAAACAATTGGAAATATCAAATGAAGTTCATATAGATAAATTAGATGCAAATGATATTATAAATTGTAACATTGTTACTGAAGCGAAGGAGAGTCTAGATAAACTTAATGCTATTTATGACCAGTTAGTTACAGAAAATGGAGAACTTTTACAAAACCTTACGCTGTTATGTAACGAAGCTAATAATATCTATAGGGATATTACCACCCTAAGTAAACCATTAACTAAAGAAAGTGAAATAAATCGACAAGAAATTCCTCAAGTTCGTGAAATCATTCAAATATTACAAGAAAGAGTCAACAGAGACAGTGTCATCTCTTGAACACTTTTAAAAAAAAAAATATGTACTATTATTAGACTGTATTATATGGATATTTTTATTTACAAGATTTACATCAATATATAAACATTTTCCCATTCTACCCCAGAATAAAGCTTAAGGGTTGGTTGGTTTCTGTGCTTTCTTTTGTGGATATTTCGCTTGATATTTAGCAAAGTTCTCTTTAGCCAATTCTTGATAAGCTTGAACTTTCTTCCTAAGTGCATTGAATTTTTCTTGTTTCTTCAATTGTTTATCAGATTTCTTGATCAAGACCTTATCACCCCAAACCTTATATTCTTGAAGATATTCTCTACCCATATTAAATTCTCTCATGATAACATCATCAGTTAAACCTAACTTATGAAGTGTATAAAAATAATTCTTTGCATCAACTCGTTTCAAATATTTCAAAAGACGTTGTCTATATTGAACAGCTTCTCTAACACTTTGAATAGTATCGAAATCTTTTTTGTTGGCTTGAACATGTCTCATTCCGAAATGAATCTTTACAGTCAAAATAGCTGCTTGAACTTCAGGTGATCCACAGTCTCCTGGACGTCTTTGAAATTCTTGACGAGCTAATTTAATTGCGTAATCTTTCTTATCTTTGGCACTAGTATTTCTTAAATTAAGAATAGTCAACAAGGCTTTCTTTTTCTTTTCTTCATTAGCACGAATCATTTCTGGAGATAAATGTCCTCCAGTTTGACTTTCTACATTTGCCTTTTCAGCCCCATATAATAATTTTTCAAATTCAACTCTATCAATACCATAAGCTAAATGAGATTCTGGATTATCAACTTCTTGGAAAATTCGTCTGATAAACTCACATTTTGGATCACCTAAAACTGGATCTACTTTACATGGAATATGTTTTGCATCATGTTGTTTTAATTTATTAACATCTCTAATGATTTCCTTTTTTAATCTTCTTTCTTTTCTTCTCATGATTCTTTTTTTACGACGATCTTGTTCTTCTTGATAGAATTGTAAACTTGCAAGCTTTACATGTGGTCTCAATACCTGCATTGGCTTTTGAATATGACGTCCTCTTCTGCTTCCCTGAGGTGCGCATGCTGGACGTGCGCCACCTACCTGACGTAACACTGGTCCTAATGTAGAAAAGAATCGAATCCCTTGCTTAAACATCTTCCAATGTTCTTTTCTATTCTTTGAAGTTTATAAACCCAGTTGCAAGATATCTGGGTTAAAGAAAATTTTGAAAAATTTTTTGGAGAGATTTTTGTTCGTGATTTTGAACATATTTACACGACTTCCTTTATGTATTCTCATTCACTGGCTTTCATCTTTCACAACCAATAGAAGTTACTGGGTTGATGAAAGGGCAATCAACTTCAATTCGAAAGATGAACAAAGAGCTGCATAAAGACAAGATCTCTCAATTGCATAATCTCACCCGGAAATTGAAATCAAAATATACGAATAACATACTTAATGAAATATATGAATTATTATACCCCATCGCAAATGAATCAATTGATCCCCAAGGTTTGAAATATTTATTACAACATGATTTTACTACAACGGTGCTTTATAAACAATTAAACATTGATGTGACTAATAATTACTTGGAAGTTTTGTTAGGATTGATAACCAATGAAATAAGTCTTTTGGATATCTTTATTGAACATAATGATTTTCTGGCGTTGTTTGATAGATTGATTGGGATATGTCAAGATATAAGTTTTACGAATTATAGATTTAAGATTTATACTATTCAACTCATAAGTATGATGTTGACTCGTAAGACAGGAGATGTCTCTGGGTTGGTAGTTCCGATGTTTGGGATTCATATTTGGAGAAATTTGAAACATAGTGAAGACTTCTTACCTAAAGGATTAAAAGTAGAATATAATTCCGAAATCTATTCGTATGAAAATTTGCTGGCTGCAGAAAGAGCCAGTTATAACTTGAGATCACGATGGTTACTACAATTGTTAAAATCATATCTACTAGAAGAAACTCCAATCCCGTTTAGAGAATCAATTGTGAAATTCTTGTTGTTCATACTGAGACATCCAAAGTATAACTCATTCATTATTCCATTCTTGAAATCTATCCAAGTCTGTTCATTATTAAGAGTTGAATCAACCAACATAATTAACGAATATATTGACATTTTGCAACAATCTCTCACTGAAGGCGAATCTATTGCTGACTTTGCAGTTTTGCAACAGTCCATTATTGAATCATTTCCTGAAAACAAAACGTTGGTAGATCCTATCATGTCCTTTCCATCAAGATATAATTGTACCGAACAACAAATACGGGAACTATTACAGGTTTTATCCATTGAGGATATTCAAAAACTTACAAATTTCCACTATTCTTCGAAAGAAATTTCCAATTTTCAAATTTTGATACCAGATAATAGTAAATCATCAAAACATATCCAGATTGATATAATCCTATCCCGATTCTTCCCAATTGAGAAATCAACATATTCAATCTCCCACTCCTTCTGGCAAAATTTCGATGATTCAAATAACCTCATCAATACCAACCTAGTCCTCCCAAGTAATTTCCGAAATTATACAGACCTCGAAACCTCCATAACAATCGACACATCCAGCAAAGCCAAGATCGAATTGTATAACCATTTAAATAATGTCATGTCCAGGATTAAAATAGATGGGATTAATCGATATAAAGGCACAAGCAAATATTTGATCAAGATAAAATCGATTGATTGTTTGGAAAGGAATAAATATCGAATAGTTACAAATTCACCAATCCCAGACCAGAAACATATTGTTATTGCCTTGATTGAGATATGCAAACCTGATAATAGCAGTTCGTTCAAGAGATTGGGAATACGGAGGATGGAATTGATTCGTGCAACCAGAGAAACCAAGACTATTCTTGCGTTTGAGAGTAGACGGAAGTTTGAATCTGTGGAGGATTTTAAACAATTTGTTCTATTTCCTGTCTCTGATTCATTGGAATATCTTGAATATATGAAATCGTTGAAAGAACTGAAATTTGATGACAGAGATTGGACGTATGATTATTTGGTGAAATCTAAGGTTGAGGATAGTATTGAACCGGAAAGAAAGAAGCGAAAACTTGATCCTTCCCAGCCTAAGAAGGACGTGCTAGAGAAGCAACAGCAAGGGAGTATACATATTTATAAAGCTTCTAGATTTGCCGATATTGAAGCACAAATTGAGAGTTTGAAAACTTCCAATGGTAGAATATTGATATTAACTCCCTCACGAAATGTTGTGGATCAGTATCAAACCAGCAATAATCAAGACCCAACTATCCGTTTTAAGAGTCAAAAATGTTTATCGGAATTAATTCAATTTTGTAACCAAAGACTCGAAGAATTCCAATCGGGGCTAGGGATTAAAGTTAATCCTTTGGAAAAAGTATGGGAAATGGAACTAGATGAAATACATAACAAAATCGCCAAAATATGGGACAACGCCAAGGAAGGCACTTCTCCATTTGACTTCTTTTCGGAGAAAGACGAAAAGTCTGATTCAAAATCACAACTTGAATCCATTAAAAAGGACCTAGCATTAATGAGGAAGCTTCAACCAGTTTCTGGAATGAAAGGTCAAGACATGCAAAAAGCTTGGAAATATATCTTCAATACCTTCAGTATAATAATCACCATTGAAGATTTTAAACAACTCATAGAATCGGATACTAAGATTATGTCATTTGATTCGGTCATATTTTGGAACTGTAAATCAACGGCACTTCCGATCGTACTTGATAGCCTTCCCCAAAAGATTACGAATATTGAAATAATCGGAGGACAATTGTTGGAATATTTCCAATATCTTCCCATTCAAACATTATCAGCACCAAAAACAACTCCAGAGAAGAATAAATTCAATGCCGGGTTTTCGAAAGAATTTGAACTTATTGAAGCGGAAAATCAAATCGAAGAAGCCGAATATTGCATTCTTTTATATTATTATATGAGATCAATAGGATATCCTGGGGATGAAATTGCGGTTTGGGTATGTTGCAAAAGACAAGAATTCTTAATTAAAGAGATTTTTAATTCAAAATATCCGGAGTGGAAGAAAAAATATAATATCCCAGTTGTAATTTATAATGAAGACGGTGTTCATGATTTTGACAGGTTTAAATATTCGATTGTTTCTCTATTTAGTGATGGGGATTATAAGGAAGTTGATTTGAATGGGAGATTGGGCAATTATTTCGTTAGTAGTGATATTAAGAATGATAAGAATTATTTTCATCAGGCTGCTGGGATTAAGAAACATTTGCTATCGGTTCATCCGCTGGAAAGATATGGTGATGTCAAGAGAGGGAAAAGTATTAAGATAGTTCATAATTCTCGAGAATTAGAAAAAATAGTGGAACAGTTATCTGAGAAATAGCATGTTGGTGTATTTATAGAATTCATAGAAGTAAACACTGTAACAATAGTCTGTTTGACAGGAAGAATTTCCTCGGTTATCCTTTATCTTTATCTCTCCTCTGTTCTTATAAAGCCAAGTATTCACCAATTCAAGGGGTTTTCTCTTCACGTATAAGGGCAACAAGTATTATTCTGGTAGCGCGTACTTTGAACGATTCTGTTTTGTCTGTATGTCCAATTCCGTTCCATCACCCAACTTTGCAAGCCGCAATTAAAAAATAAATAAAAAAAAATTTTTCATAAAATTACTTTTTTACCACTCAGTATACAATATTCATAGACCCTAAATATCCCCGTTAATAATGCAAAGAGCTTTACTTAGTTCATTAACTAGATCAGTTGCTGCACGTAATACAGCACGTTCTATGAGAGTAGTGAGACCAGTTGTTGCTATCCCATCATGTTATCAACCATTTGCCGTTCGTTTCAATTCGACCAACGCAGCCAAAGAAGAACCAGTCAAGACAGAAGAAGAAGCCAAGACTGAAGAACCAGCTAAAGAAGAACAAGAACAAGCTGCTGAAGAAGCTAAGGAAGTTGATCCAACTGTAGAATTACAAGAGAAGTTACTTAAAAAGGATAAAGAATTAGCGGAAATGAAGAATCATTATGCTAGAGCCATTGCTGATTTCCGTCATTTACAAGAAACTACCAAGAAAGAAGTTCAAAAGGCAAAAGATTTCGCATTACAAAAGTTTGCTAAGGATTTATTAGAATCTCTTGATAATTTTGCATTAGCTTTAGGTCATGTTAAACCAGAAACTTTAGAAACTAATCATGAAGTTAAGAATTTATATGAAGGGGTTGATATGACTAGAAATATCTTTGAAAAGACATTAGGTAAACATGGAATAGAGAAGATAGATGCTATCGATAAAGAATTTGATCCAAATTTACATGAAGCTACTTTCCAAGTTCCACAACCAGAAAAAGAACCAGGAACTGTTTTCTTCGTCCAACAAGATGGTTATACCCTTAACTCAAGAGTTTTAAGACCAGCTAAGGTTGGTATTGTTAAGGGTGACAGTTAGATGAAACGTCTTTTGTTGTTGTTCATTATGAATATGTTTGTTTGTTACGTTGTTGTTGTTAATGATTAATGTCCCCAGAAAACAATCTTTCTACTTGTATATAAATTATTTGGATATTCCATTTATCTAACCCCTCACGTTAGTCTTATAATAAAGATTGGTTTTTGCAATTATTAGAATCATTTTTGCAATCCTTTTATAAATTTTATTAAATTTAAGTAAAAAGTTTTGGCTGTATGTTTTTTCTCTCCGATATGGTCCGAATCCCGGACTTCAGAATCCTGAACATCATGTCAGCTTGATAGGATCGTTGTAGAGTTGCATGTAGAATGAAATTCGACTGTAAAAACTCAAATTCGGTTGGGCAAAAAGAGAGAAGCAGATGTGGTAAATTTCTATGTATTTTGGTGTTCATCAATGATTTCAGTAGTATTAAATCGAAACGGCTCTACTGAGTAGAAATGACTCACTGATAACGAAAAATTAATTCGGCAATTTTGATTCATTTTTCTCCAAGATTTTTTTCATTGTTCTTTCAATCGAATCACACACATCAATTGACTTTTGAAAAATTATTTTCAATTTCATAATTCTTTCCTCGTCTTCTTCTTCCTCTTCTTCTTCTTCTCTTCTTCTTGTAGTTCAATTCATTCATAATCGTTATATAATGTTAGCAGCAAGATCATCAATTCGTCGTTGTTTCTCAACTTCTTCCCCAGTTTACAAAACCTTAAAAATTGGTTTAATTCCAGGTGATGGTATTGGTCGTGAAGTTCTTCCAGCAGGTAAAGCCGTTTTAGAAAACTTACCATCTAAATACGATTTACAATTCGATTTCGTCAACTTAGACGCTGGGTTTGAATTGTTTAAAAAAACTGGTACTGCATTACCTGACAAAACTGTTGAAGTTTTAAAGAATGAATGTGATGGTGCATTATTTGGTGCTGTTTCTTCTCCAACTACCAAAGTTGAAGGTTATTCTTCTCCAATTGTTGCCTTAAGAAAGAAGATGGGATTATATGCCAATGTCCGTCCTGTTAAATCTGTTGAAGGTATCGGTAGACCAGTTGATATGGTTATTGTTCGTGAAAATACTGAAGATTTATATATTAAAGAAGAAAGAACTTATAAACGTGAAGATGGTACCAAAGTAGCTGAAGCAATCAAGAGAATTACTGAAACTGCAACCACCAGAATTGCCAAGATGGCTTTTGATATCGCATTACAAAGACAAGCTATTAGAGAAGCTTCTTCAGGTAAACAACTTCATGAAACTCCATCAGTTACAGTCACTCACAAATCTAATGTGTTATCTCAATCCGATGGGTTATTTAGAGAAACTTGTCGTGCTGTTTATGATGCTAATGCAAGTATTTATCAAGGGGTTGAATATAAGGAACAAATTGTTGATTCTATGGTTTATCGTATGTTTAGAGAACCAGAAATCTTTGATGTCGTAGTTGCACCAAACTTATATGGTGACATTTTGAGTGACGGTGCCGCTGCCTTAGTTGGTTCCTTAGGTGTTGTTCCTTCCGCTAATGTTGGGGATAATTTTGCCATTGGTGAACCATGTCATGGTTCTGCTCCAGATATTGAAGGTAGAGGTATTGCTAACCCAATTGCTACTATTAGATCTACTGCGTTGATGTTGGAATTTATGGGATATCCTGAACCAGCAGCTAAGATTTACGAAGCTGTTGATGCTAATTTGGCTGAAGATAAGATTAAAACTCCAGATTTGGGTGGTTCTTCAAGTACTCAAGAAGTTATTGATGATATCATAAGACGTTTCTAAACTAATAGTTCTATATCTATGTATATATATATGAAGAAAGTATAAATATTAAACCAAGATTAATTTCTTAGTATGGTTTGAATCTGACATCGCTCTTCTTCTTCTTACTCTTATGTTTATCTTTCTTGTCCTTCTTGTCCTTTTTATCCTTCTTGTCTTTCTTATCTTTCTTATCCTTCTTGCTCTTCTTCTTCTTCTTCTTTTCTGGTTCGTCTGAGTCCATATCAACTTCTTGAATCTCACTAGAAGCACCAGCACTAATATCAAATGACTCCAACTCATATGGGAGTTCCCATAATCTGATATATCTGTCCTCACCACAAGTAACCGCCTTCTTTGAGTTCGGCACAACATATAAATCTCTAACCACTTCCTCTCCATGCGCATCCGGGAACCAAATTGGTCTACTAGCATCAAAACTCTCCTTGGTAGGATTAAACGGCAACAACGTCAATTTCCGTTGTGAATTAGCTCCAAAGCCCACATATCCCCTACTTGGAAACAAATCCACCACATACTCATTATCAGGCCATAAGGTTCTTGTATCTTCCAAATCCTTAAAATTCGGTTCTATCAACTCTTCATAATTCGTATCATGCAAATCATGAAACATTAATGATTCCATATGTGACAAGATCGAAATTCTGGTTGGGGTAATAAAATGACAAGAATGGACAGAAGCATAATTAATGACTTGATGAAGCGCCTCGTCTTCATCTGGTTGGTTGAGGTCATAGATATTGACATATCCGTCTGTAGAACCTGACATGAGGTAATGATTTATGGTGGGGTGGAATTCAATGGTGGTTATATCATCATGATGGGAGTCGATGAATGAACGTACGACTTCTTGAGGGTTTCGAATATCCCAAATATGTAATTCTGCATCTATACCAACTAATTCGGTCCCCCCGGCTAATAAATTATTTTGAGGATTATAACCTAATGATAAGAAGTTTGAGTTTTTGGTGTTGGTTAATTGGATGATTGATTTTTGGGTACGTAAATCCCATAATTTAATCCCATCAGTGGAACAAGTGGCTATAGTATTTTCATCTAATTTGGTGAGGTGGTTTATAGTGGATTCATGAGCTTTGGAGATTTGGAATAAGGGGGTTGGCGAAGGGGTATCAAGAGAATATGAAACTATGGATCCATTACTGGTGGACGCAACAATTGAATTATTATTAGTAAAGTGTTCTAATTTTAATATCCAATTGTCTGGTTGATTGGATTTCCAATCAAATAAGCATTGAGCTCTCATTATGTGTTTACGCTAAGCTTGTCTTTG